TTTTAGCCGTTTCGAAACCATGCGACGTGACTCCCTCCAGCCATTAGCACGAAATTCTCTCTCTGCCGCAATACTTAAGGTTCTATTGTCAGAATATGCTTATAGTTTTTAAAAAGTGGTGGTAAAATAAACGTGAAATTGTGTAAAAAAAAAAGTGGTAATTGCGGTAATATTTATAACCAATCGAATAATAGCTTTCGGGCAGTTGTTATACGCAAATTTTGCCACAATTGAGACTTTTCAATCGCAAAATGACAGACAACTATGCAAAAAAGTTGCATCAGATCAGACACAGTTTCTACAGAGCTTTTGAATTTTTTGAAGGAAATAATTATTCATTCATTTGTTAAAGTCACAAAATGTTAGAATTCATACGGAATAAAAGTACTTTTATTTATGTGTGTAATCACTTATTTTATTTTGGTATTTACCACAATAGTTAATTAATTAATGTAAATTTCGTGTATGTATCAAGTTGCAAATAATGTCTCGCAAAAAAGTATGAAAATCAAAAAAAAATTTGTAACAATGAATAAAACTCATAAGTAAATACCTAATTCAACCATAATTCAGTAGATTCAGCTTAATTTAAATCTGTCCACATCAATAAATTTAGGAAACATTGGGCAAATTGGACTTAACCAGATGCACTTAACTCATCCCATGAACATGATATTATGATTTATGAAAATGTCAGTTTACATTACACGAGCATCACACATTTATTCCGACTCACTTGCCATATATGCAACTTAGCTTATTTGAATAAAACGACGTCCATTTCAATTAATGTATGTATGCATTCCATCAAGATTTATAATGTCATCGTCGCACGTGCAGTTTAATAACCAGCTTTTGCCTCTCGTTATGTTCACTCGACGACGGAAAACAGGAAAGGAAATCATTTTCAAAATTTACCATTATACGTAACATTATATAGTGTACAATACTATGCAAATTATGCAAATGCAAATATCTATGCTATTCCATTGTGATATTGTAACATCTTCCTGTTTCTAATTGCACTTTGCTTTGCTTTGCTGTGCTCCGTCTCATCTTTAGAAATAGAGTGACAATCAAATCCAATGCTTGTTGAGCTCAATGAAACAAGCACTTTTATTTTTTTCTAGTTATTAATATCACATATCAGAAACTTCTTATTACACAAATCAGTTAGATACATGCATAAAAGACCATTGTTCGTAATCTGCCACCGTCTGGGCAATGTGCATATTGTTAGAAAAAGAAACTTTCCCCTTCATCCAGCCTCACAATTTCAAGTAATTCTTTCCTATATATTTCCAATCAAATAACTTCATGTCTTCACGTCATTAAATAATTTCTCATGCTTGTGATAACCAATTCTTTGTGTGTATACGTGACACACAGTGGCCGCGGAAGCCGTGGGGGCATCTGGGGACATTAAAATTTTAGGACAGGGGAGGAAGAAGTTTATATAAGATGGGGAGATGATGCAGACATCGAATAACCGTGGGGACATTGTCCCTCTGTCCCCACGCTTCCGCGGCCACTGGCTACATAGATTGAAATACAGTTGGGCCTGATAATGCGTAATGAACTCACTTCCAATACTTCCAACCAAGAATAAGGAAAGTGCACGATATTTGCATTCGAAGTACATACAACCAAAATATTGAAAGATAAAGTATATGCATACATTCTTGTGCTTATCTTCTTAATTATCAGTCAGGACGAGAAGGCTGAGTCAACACAGCCATACGCATAATGTCTACACTACCCTAAATAATAGAGGCCTTTATACGAAATTGCGTACATATTTACTAATACATGACAGTTCAAAATGTATGTGCGTCTGTCTATCTCAAATTTAAATAATGACGCATGCACGCACGATAAGAAATTAAACAATAAATGACTAAGGAATTAATTTCTTCTACACTTTTGACATCTCGCACCCTTCTTAACTCAAGAAATCATCGGCACGTATTGTATTGATTGAATGAATATTGAACCCAACTAAAAAACAAGATTGATTAATTGGCAGCTATGTAACTACATAATTTGATTCGGAGTTGACAAACAAGTTGATTATAACGACTAAATGATAATAATTCAGCACAAAAACTTATGTACGAACGGACACAGCAAATTTACTCATTATGCGTTAGGGAACGTTCATAAAATACGTAACTGGGCGGTGGGGTCGGCCTGTTGGGATACCGGGTAACTTGCGCCACATGTTAAGAAGTGGGTAAAAAATCGTCATCTTTTGCGTTACGCATTTTATGAACGTTCCCTTACTTGAGTCCTCATCACTCTAAAACAATTTCAAAAAACGAAACAAATTACTTTTTCATCAAAAGGAAACGCAAACGCTAAAGTTGTTTCGCTCTGCTGCTAGGATTACGTCGACGTTTCCGTCCACATTTACATGATTCTCCTCTCAGAAAAAAAGAGTGTCAGAAGATGGGAAATACATGCTTTTACATTTTTTTAAACAAGCAAAAATAATTTACTGGGTCCACTCCATCCACCACTTGTTCGAGTAATCTATATATTTTTTGCAACAAGTACATAACTCGGCTGCGAGTTCAATAATCCCATTCGCACATTATACACACACATGTAATGCAACTAACTAACTATATTCATTCCAATCCCTACGAGACCAGACCAGAGATAGGAAGAAAAACTTCATGTAATAGTTGTTTTTTTACTCGACACACTGCATATAAAACGTATGCATCACCAAAATGAATCATGTGCCAGCTTACATACGTACGTACGTAAACTTACAAGAATGTGTGACGACGCTGCCCTCATTCATTCCTTCGTTTCATTCATTGTAAAAAATTATTAGTAACAAGAAAAAGTCTTACAAATTTTTCGTCGGTTTATCATGCAGCGTCAGTGGCCGCGGAAGCGTGGGGACGGGCAGAGGAACAATGTTCCCACGGTTATTCGATGTCCCCATTATCTATATAAACCCCTCCCTCCCCCTTTCCTACAATGGCAATGTCCCCAGATGTCCCCACAGCTTCCGCGGCCACTGTACATCTACATGTTTTCTCACAGTAAAAATATAATGTAACGAGTTAACTGAATCTCTGTATTATAAAAAAAATATCACAATTTTTGTGCCAAGTCAGACAACTAATCCTAAGGTTGGTGTTTGTTTGTATGTAAAAATTCATGGAAAGTTGCATGAGATCATCTTATTTATTAAATAAGAATGAATGGTCTTCTTCCTGAAGCCGCGGTATTATTTTTCATACACATTTATAACAAACGGTAATTCTTACTCCAGTTATTTGGGTGAGAATGATAAGACCTTTAAAACTTAACTTTGTACTGATAAATGTGTAGCATTCATCCATAAAAAAGGCCTTGCTACGGTGTTGGACAAGTGAGGAAATGAAATCTCTTCGCCCGGCGTCACTAAATCAGTGTATGAAATGCATAAATATATGATTTATGCAGCCCGTTTAAAGGAAAGGGAAATGAATTTCGAGAAGGACAGGTGGTGGATGCTTTTTGATAAACTGTTCCAAATGTCATATGTCACAGTAGCAGACAAATGATAAATAATATTCAAAATTGAATTAGAAGTTCCAATTCAATTGGAACAATAATAGCTATTCAAGAAATGAAAATATAAATACAGTTAAAACCTCAAAGTATATAACGATGGGTTAAAAATCATTCCTCTTTTGAACAGTAAATCTCTTCCACTCTTAATTTACAATTAGCAAATAATCGAAAAATCTAACTTCCGCTCAAAATCAAGCTGAATTCGATTTTTAGAACAGATTAAACCGCATCTTTTCTGAAATCTTTACACTAAAATGCTAACTCAAGTGTTATTTTGTGATGCGTACTTTGCAAAGTCGAATGGTGTACACTCGGTATGCATCAATTAATTAGCATACTCTAAAGTTTTCTTTACCCTTGAATATACACATACTCGTATGTACGGCGTTCTTTGCAGATTTTTACGCCATAAGAAAACTATAATCTTACTGATACGAACAAAACCAGTTTGCCGGAAGTGTACGATCCTTTAAATATTATTATTGCAGAGTAAACAATAAGTATTTTTAGTTTATATACATCCATCCCCCCAGTCAAAAGTCAATAGCATCCGTGTGTGCTCCATGAATATTTGGTAGGTGTACATATGTGGTAATTGTTCCTGTATATTTACAATAGCATTAATCATAACTCATCCACAACACGAAGTCCAAACACGGCAAGATTTTGCAAGGAAATAAAGATCCTCGGTAAACATACATTTATTTTGCAGTTTCTCGACTGTAGTCGTAAACCTAAATATATTGACGACGACAAAATGCGAGCAATAAATGTCGCATGTTGTGTACGTTGCACACGTCACAAAGACTAAAAAAGAAGTTATTTTATCCTAAATAAGATAAGAAAGTAGTAAAACTTGGCTTGATTTTTGTGCAAAATTTAAATATTCACACGGCGTTTATATATACATACAATTTTCTCCCAATTATGTACATACGCAGTTTAGACCTCACACAAGAAAAAATGTCCCCAAGTCTCGGTGGTCTTGATACAGAAGCGTTTAGAAAATAAATTCGAAATCCTCCTCCTCTCGCATTATTATGTACAGTACATTTAAGAAAAATGCATCCAAAGTAACTTTGGATGCCAAACACGACGACGGCTCAACAAACTTTGCTTAACCTTTTACACATTTTAGTCCATTATTTGCTCTGCTTTCTTATACTCTACTTGTTGACTTAATAGGAGAGAAATGAAGACTTACCCAGCATGTTTTTTATTATTTACTTTGTCGCCAGTCTACCGTGCAAATATGAAGACGAACGAAGCAGTATGCAGCGTGGGTGGAAAGAATGCAAAAATTATGTTTACTACATAAATATTTTTGTGCAAAAAAAATATGCGTCACGTTTTACATCTCTCGCACACAACTTAACTTACAACTTTGCCGTCACAAACATGCTCATAATTTTCGCAACGTTACGTACCGGTACACACGGCGATGCTGAGGTGTTGTGATTCATTCAGGAACTTCGAGTTTCAGTCAGATAATAACTCGAGCGAGCAGTGATTCATGCGTGCGCACGTATTTTTCCTGTAAGAAGAAGAAGATAAAAAACAAGATTAGTCTTTTAGTATGATGCTGAAACTATTTATTTACAAAGTTAATGTGGAGATGTTTATTTGTTTACTTAAATCCAGGTTCAAGTTGTGTATGTATGTGAGCTTAATTAGGTTTCTTAATCGTATGAACGCCTACGTACACATTGGCGGCGGAGGCAGGGGGACATTGTCCCCTTCGAAAAGCAAAATCGTATCTTGCCCATGTTAAGTACCATAAAACACAAATGTCCCCATATACCCCCCCCCCCCAACCTTCCGCCCCCCACTGTAAACGCATACAGTCTCTGAGAATTTGCCAAAATATGTCAATGATTTTTTTGCCAATTACAAATACTATCTATTTATTACCAAAATTGTCCTTTCTTTTATCAAAAATTTCCGAGTACGTATGTATTAACAGCATTTTTTGCATGTTGGGACATTCAGCAGCGTACGGCAACAGGTGCGTGTCATGTGGAAAGTAGCGTGCAGTTTATTGCAGATTTGCTCCACCCAATAAAACGTATCAATGACAAACGTGGAGACTAAAATTTCCACGAATCTAGGATTCATTATACATGCATAGGTCTAAAGACTTAAGATTTAGCCGACTCATTCCTCCATGTAGCTGATCCAATCAATCAAACAAGATTTAAATGACCATTTGTTTAAGGGGAGATAGTGAGTCGCAATTGTTGGCAGATCCGACTCGGTGCCGTGAAATTGCGTAGTAAAAGCTTATCTATGTACATACCCCTTGTATAATAAATGAGGAACTGCACTTTACCGCAACGCTCATGAAGAACAATTTTTATTTTTACACGATTCTTTTTGCCTACATATTCACGTAAATATATTAAATTTAAAGAAACTCCTCAGTGTTTCCATTAAGAAAAAATATTTCTTATGTAATCGGAGTCTTTTTTAGGTACCTAAAGACATCAATGCCATGTTCATAGATATTAACACAGTCAGTGGTTACTGGTTGCACTTTAAATTTAGCCAGACTTCTTCGTTCCACTAGATTTTTACTACCAGGTTGGTAGTCATAATAATAATCATAATAATTTCTGGTTCATTACGCTCTAGGTATTTTACCAAATTTTTTTTACTCGTTCAAGTACACTTTACATAATTGTGTTATGATTTGTCTCATAATAATGATGAAAAAGAAAGAATTGTGTCCAAATTTTAGGATAGATTCGTTTACTCATGATTAAAATTAATATAATCATCAGTGTCGTCAGTACCTGGATGTACTGAGAATGGAGGTCTCTCAGCGGACGCTCTCCGATTTTGGGCAAATTAGTGTTAATTGATGGCAAATTTAATTAGTATGAAATTTGCGAAAGACACGATCTCCCAATGGGCACGTTTGGCAGAGATATTTGCATCCCAAGAGGAGAAAACGCGTCATAAAGTTGACAAATTTTACACGTTCCAAATTTACTGGGCATTTTCTCCTCTTCGGATGCAAATATCTCGGCCAAACGTGCCCATTGGAAGATCGTGTCTTTCGCAAGCTTCATGCTAATTAAATTTGTGATCGATTGACACTAGTTTGCTCAAAGTCGGAGAGCATACGCTGGGAGACCTCCATTTTCAGCGTTACTAACGAATCCAGACCTCATATTTTACCTTATTACAGAATAATCTATTATTACATACATTTAGAATTAGTTACACAATATGGCACTTGCGATTCGATTTAAAGATAACTATTTGTGTCAGTCGCTTCAGTGTAAAAAACAGTTGGTTAGGTTAGGTTAGTTTTTGATCACAATGCAGTATCATAATTATCCCACGCTAGTCAACCCATAATTTATTCTCCTACGACAAAATGGGCCATCTTATCTTCGCATACTGTTATTAGCAGTAGTGAGTTATTTGGGCTAACTGCCAAATTTTTGCAAATTAGTATCCCTGCGGATACATAACACGCCTAGAGAAAAAAAAATCATTGTGCTGCAAATTATGCAAAAAACTTCAATCCAAATCCCTCCCACTCATAAAATTTTGGCATTCATAAAAATCTAATCGCTTACAAAGATTAAGCACTCATTTTGCATATTGAATACAACACAATTACACCTTCACACTTTTGCTTTGTTTGCCAAGTCAAGCACATGTGTGTCTTTCTTTATACCGATCATTATTCAAACTTTTTTTGACGCTACGCCTTAAACTGTGCCGTCCTTTAATTGTTGTCGTTTATTTCACTCACAATGAAATTCAAGTCAGAGTAACATCATTATAATTTGAAACGTGACAATCAACGCAATCACAGGCATGTTTATAAACAGTGGCCGCGGAAGGGTGGGGACGCAGAGGGACAATGTCCCCACGCTTATTTGATGTCCACATCATCTCCCCATCTTATATAAACCCCTCCCTCCCCCAATCCTACAATGTTAATGTGCCCAAATGTCCCCACGGCTTCCGCGGCCCAATCAACGGAATCACAGGCATGTTTACATCCAGTGGCCGCGGAAGCTTGAGGGGGCAATTTCCCCACGGTTATTCGATGTCCGCATCATTTCCCCATCTTATATAGACCCCTCCCTCCCCTATCCTACAATGTTAATGTGCCCAGATGTCCCCACCTTCCGCGGCCACTGGTTTATACGGTGTATATTCGCATCCTTAAATATTTGCCCTCTACAAATGAATAACGCGTTTTGTATATGCCCTGTTTACTAAATTCGACTTGTGTACATATCTAAAAGATGAAGTACCTCATCTATTATTGTCTGTTACGTATGCAACAGTGTAAATATTTTCATCCTTTGATGAGCTTTTATAGATAGATGGTTGGGAGTGACAAGCATCACTGTTCATCAAGAAAGGGACTCAATTGTATTGTGTGTGTCAAGAAAATGCGTAACATCAATTGTTGTTGGGAGATTTGTCCTAAATTCAAGCGTCGACTCATCAACATCAACCAAAATGCCCCGCAGATTTATTTGTAAGTAAGTATGTGACATTCGTAGATTAAGTCAACAATTCAAAGGATTACGACAACAAAATACGAGTCAGTCAGGTCGGTCGGAAGGTGGATTCATTAAATGAAATCTATCTCTGTGCATACTTTTATTACTCTAAAGTCAAACAAAGCCAAGCCAAACGACTACTGCTGCAAGGTAAATTAAGGTTACTTTGTAAATTGTGATACAAGTCGATGAAAATCTTATACTTGTATGGCTTAGCTTAGGTTTAGTTTAGTTCGTCGGGGAGGATGTAAGTGTCAATGCTGCGGACGATCAGTGGCCGCGGAAGGCGTGGGGACATTAAAACTGTAACATGGAGAAGGGAGGGGTTTATATAACATGATCAGATGATGGGGACATCAAATAACCGTGGGTGGGGACAGTGTCCCTCTGTCCCCTCAAGCTTCCGCGGTCACTGGCTATGCGCGATAGATAAAGTCGTGGAAGGAAACCTGCCTAAAAGTTGTATGTATGTAGGTAGCAATTTGATCTGCCGTCGTCGTTTGATTCATTGGCCACTTGAAAGTCAGGATGGATGATTGACACATAAATGAATTGTTACAGGGTCAATGTTTATGTGTATCGTTAAGCAAGAAAGAGCCGATGATTCAAATGTTATGTGTGCGTCGGAACAGATTCAAGTTTTTGTTTTCGACAGGTTTCATAAACCGGAATTGTGTAACTAAATAGATGCAATTCATACGTACGAGACAAGATTGAGACGCATTTTCTGTATTTAAATGTGACGTACATACATAAAATGTTGGTATGCATTTGTATTCACGCGATTTATTTAACGAAGTAAGTTTCCTAAATGGCCATGTTTTTCTTGGGCCAAACTGAACTATGATATAATGTTATCACTCAGCCTGGCCTATCTCAAATTACGAGGCGTAATCATTACATCAAATTAAATACAATTATTAGACCTATTCACTAGATATTTAAGTGTCCAATCACTAATTTGCTTCTTACACGAGACAATCAGTGTTTCGTTTCTTGCGGGTTTGCTACATTTCTTGCACTGAAAAGGAAGAAATGCAAGAAACTGGGAGAAAGTGCACGAAATATGCGCAATCTTTGTAGCCACGCGCCCTATGACGGGGCGTCGTTTCTTGCACCTTGCATTTCTTGCAGGTCAAAACACATGCAAAAAAACAGTTTATCCCCGTTATTTCTTGCAAGTGGTTATCAGCACCTGAAACCCTGGATATCATGTACATATGCATTCACATCGTCTAAGAAAATCAATTCCCCTCAATTTAAGTCATCATCAAGTAAGTAAAGGACGCTTGATCACAGCGCAGACAAGGCAAAATATCAATTAAATTGGGAGGCAGACTACTTCATTCTGTGTCTTTAAAGCCCTTAATTAACATGCATTCTCTCGCCAATCAGAAAATCCCCTCAATTGTTGCGTTACTACGAAATGGAGGGTATAATTATTGCAAAGTTTAATTCATTCATCATCATGTGAGCCGCATGTCATCCATACTAAAAAAATGCTCATACGTACCTAACTTTGTTGATGAATTATTGAACTGAAAGCTAATAATGTTCACTATGCAGCTGCATGCCTGCATGTTCAATGATTTTGTTATTGATGTGCAAAAAAACATTGACATGAATTAAGGATGGAGATTTGACGTAATCATTCGCTCAGCAAAAACCATACTCAACATCTTTTAACTAACAAATTCCAGAAAAATCCGGACTAAAAGTGCTGAATAATGTGCAACATTTATTTAGAATGGAATTTTTCCCCCTGTGCAAAAAAAATTGTTGCTAATTTTGTGCCCAACTCCGTCACGTACTCTCCGACTCGTTGAAAACGTGCTAATTTAATGAGCCAGGCCCCCGCACGTAGATAGATAAATAAATGTATGAAAAATAATAGAATAGAACACGACAAGTTCAAGGCTCCGCAGTGGCCGCGGACGCGTGGGGACAGACAGAGGGATAATGTCCCCACGGTTATTCGATGTCCGCATCATCTACCCATCTT